TATTCATTTTTGAATTAATAATTGATGATATTTTACCATTATTATAAATAAAAATGCTTATGTAACTTGCATTCACGTGAAGTTTTAATCATGTGCTTCAGTATTTAAAAAATAAGAAAAACTTGATATCGCCAATATAGATTTTGTTATATATAAATAATGGTTTTTGGAAGGTTTTATTTAATTAAGTCCTCTAAAGGAGCAATTACTGGTGGTAAACATAGGAGAAAATGAGGATTGAGGAAAACATAGATTTATGATTATGGTTCTGAGAACCCAGAAGAATGTGCCTTTAATAATGCTGAATTTGATTCAGGAACCAGGAGAACCTAATTTTATTGTAAACATTCTCTTAATGGATTTTAATGTGAATTCTTCAAAGATGGTGAATTCTTTGGCAGCAAGTGCTAAAGTATAAAAATCAGTGATTTAAGCAAGTTTAAGGTTTTATTTTTCTTAAAGACATTTGTAGTAGGGAGGGCAGTGCTGGTATGTCAGTTTCCTGGTGTCACTAGGGATCTGTGTGCTCTAGTATATTTAGCATACAGCTTCCATTATAAGATTGCCTTAGATAACAAGTTAGCTGCTGCAGCTCCAGTCATCACCTCCATATTCCAGGAAAGAAGGGGTTAAGAGCAAAAGTGGGCCTACTACATGAGTCTACCTTCAACCTTGTAAGGAGCTTTCCCAGAAGACATATCCAACAGCTTTTGCTTCTTATTGGCCAGAACTTACTTAGCCATCCCTTTCCACCAGGAAGTCTGGGAAATGCTGTTTTCTGGGCCTGTGATTGATCAGTGGTCTGTCATTAAGGCAGAAGGCAGAATAGATACTGGGTAGGGAAACTGCAGAGCCTGACATAATGATGTGACTACAGGTATGAAGACAGTGGCAGAACAAGAATTCAGCTGTCTTCACAACTGTGGTTGGATATGGAAAGTGTTTTCCAAGTTACAGAGCCAACAGGCTAGGGAAAAGCCACACCAGCATGTGCTGCGGCTTCTGCCCTGGGCTGAAGTCTTTCTTCTGTTATCTTCTCCACCTGTGGAGAAATAAACCAGGAAGTTGTATTGGGAGTTTCTGTGGCCTTCACGCACAGGCTGTAACTCAGGGTTTCACAAATCTTATAAAGAATTTTTTTTTCTTATAGAACTATAAGTGCGGTTTAGAAAATTTGGAAGATGCTTGTGGGACTTTTCACACTCCTATCCCATTATCATAAATATTAACATTTTGTAGAGCTATACTTAATCTTTTCACTCATGTTTTTATATGATTTTGCATTCAATATTGTGTCCTCCATCCCTCTCCCCCATTTTCTTGCACGGTTTTCATAATCCTCATTTTAATGGTCATACAATCATGTATCCAATGGTTGTTTCCTATCTGTTTAGCAGCCCCACTATTTTTAGCTGTTTACTTTTGTTTCCAGTTTCTTGGTTTTCTAAGACATAACATAAAGTAATCTTTGCACATTTTTTTCTATATTTAGAACATTTTTATATTAAGAATATAAAAATTATATATATATATATGTATATAATTTGGATGTCCAGATGTGTTAATAATTTTGAATCTCTGGTATAATATTTCACACTGAAACCTTCAATGTACAAGAAGCCACATTATTTGAACTCTTAGGATTGATTAACATCATTTTTGATTACTTGACTTTTTAATTTGCAGTTTGAATAACTTTGATCTTAAACATTTTTTCATGTATTTATTAATTGTATTTTCTCCTTTGTGAATTGCCTATTCATGTCCTGGGTTTTGTACATATCAGTGTTTTATTGCTTTTATTGTTGCTATTATTTCTTTGAACATTTTTTTATTTAAATTTTTCTTTTGTGATAAAATGCACATAACATAAACTTCACCATTTTAACCATTTCTGAATGTACAGTTTGGTGAGATGAGTACATTGACATTGTTGTGCAACCATCACCACCATCCATCTCAGGAACTTCTTCACCTTCCAAATTGAAACTCTGCCCCCATTAAAGAATAACTCTCTTCCCCCCTCCCCCAGCCCTAGCCCCCACCCTCCCCCCTCTGTCTCTGTGACTGTAACTATTCTGTGTCCTCATATAAGTGGAATCATCCAGTATTAGTCCTTTCATGACTGGTTTATTTCACTTGGTATAAGGTCTTCAGGGTTCAGCCACATTGTAGCATGTGTCAGAATTTCCTTCCTTTTTTAGGGCTGAGTAATATTCTGTTATATGTATGGCCATAATCTGTTTATGGTGTGAACTCTTTCATATAACAGATAAGAAGTTTTTGTCATAAGCAGATACTTTTTTCTCACTTGATTTTTTGTAGGTAATAATTTTGAACATCTATAATTGTAAATTTTTATGTAAGTAGACCTACTTTCCTTTGATGTTTATATATATTTTTCATTCATCTGGGATTTATTTGGAACATCACCTGACACTGAAATTAAACCCAGGAAGAATCCAGAGCCAGGGTTAATCTACTTCTTGTTGGAATGTCTTCTAAAGGCTCACTTTTTTTTTAAACCAGGCAGGAAGGAAATATTGCATGACTATGCTCCCACTTTGCATACCTTTCTAGCCTTCCTCTCTTCATCCTATTCCCCCCTCTAATCAGTTTAAATGTTATGTTTATAAAATTAACTTATTAAGGTGCTTGGATTCCTCTTCAAGGTAAGAGAAGACTCTAGGTCTCTGGAGTTAATACATTCAATTTCTTCTGCTCTGAGATATATTGTTGATATTACAGTTGATTGTTGATATATTCAGCCCTTGCTAAGGGCCCAGCCCTCTCCCCACCAAGTATTTGCATGAATTGACTCACTTATTTAATCCCACAGACAATTGTGAGGTAGGTAGTTACTAGGGCTGTTTTTCAGGTTGATAGGAGGTGCCATGAGGAGATATATTGTAACCTAAATATTGGAATCCACAGCTATTCTTCATGTGCTTTAAATGAAAGAAAACTAAAAAAAAAATAAATCTGAAATAATAATCACTAACACGGTGCTAAATGTGTACTGGGAACATTAAGGTATTAACTAATTTGATCTCAGCCCCTTGAGGTAGGCACAATAAAATAAGTAATGTGTTTTTGAATGACTTTTAGATCACTTACAATCTGCTTTTGATGACTTTATTATTTCTTGTCTATGTCTTAAGATTGCTTTCTCTCTCCCATTCAGGGGGTGTGTTGATTCTAATTAGAGTAATTAAAACTTACTTGGGGCATGATGTTTGAGCTTTGTATCAGATAGGAGTATAAACTAAAGCCCCCAGCTAGTTGATATCCAGATTTGATTATTTGCTTGAAAAGTTGGCATACACACAGCACAGAATTCAAATTTGCAGAAGGATTTCCAGTGCAAGAGTGTCTCCATCCCACTTCTGTGTTGCCTTCCAGATCCCCTTCCTGGAGGAAACCAACTTTACTGGTGCTTAACCAGCAATAATTATGTGCAGGCACTTGGATTATACATAAACATGTTTCAAAAAATGGTAACAAAATAGACATACTATGGTACATTTTGATTTTTACTTTAAAAATTTTAGAAATTATAATTTGAAATATATGAAATTTACCCACTTAACACAGTTTTAAATGTATCATTTGGTAATGTTACCGACATTGACATTATGGTGTAACAGACCTCTAGAACTTTTCCATCTTGCAAGATCAAAATTTTGTTCCCATAAACAGCTCCTCATTTCTCTCCTTCATACACCTTGTTTTTTAAAAAAAATGTTGTAGATACAGAAGTATATTTAAGAATGTGTATGTATGGAGAGGCCTCTTTTCATGTAGCAAATTTATAGTAGATATTGTTTCATATCTGCAGACACACTGCCCATCCTTTTTAATTGCTGCAAAGTGTTACATTTTATGGATGTGACCTAATCTGTGTAATCAGTTCCTAGTTACGTGCAGTTATGTTGTTTCTGATCTTGGAAGCTGTGACAACCGTGCACCTCTCTGAGGCACCTTGTTTTAGATGTCCCTTGGCTTGACAATGGAATTTGACTTTGTCTCATAGTCTTAGTTCAGAGACTTTCTCTTCAGTAGATGAGTTTCTCACTGGTACATGCTGATGATTTTAGTGATAATAATGCACTTTCACTGAGTACGTTCCCCATGCCAGGTGCTGCGATGAGCACTTTGTTTAGACTCCTGTGAAGTCAGAGCTAATTATTCATGGAGAGAGGAAATCACTTTCCGAACTTGGTAAAAATCGAAGGTGGGATGTAGCTGGGCTGATTGGAGTTGGAGCTCTCCCGTTGCCCGTGCTGACATGGCCTGGGCTGTGTGGCAGGCGTGTGTGGTCCCAGCTGCTTTTCTGGTGCTGTGCTTTCTGGTTTTAGTGTGTTTTATTTATGTATGGATATTTTAAAACTCAGGCTTGGCTTTCTCTTTGGTTTCTATTGGGTGCATATTAGTTCTGATAATTGGTAAAACATATTTTAACTTAACTGTACTTTTGCATAAGATACTTACCTGTATTTGCTTAGGGATGATTACTTCCTACTGTGCTTAGTGACCAAGTTGGTACATGTCCACATTTCTTACCTCCTCCTCCTTTCTTCTATCACCTGCTTTTGATTGTTTATGTTAGTGAACTTACTCTGATAATAACGTTTGTGAATTTATGTTTACTGGTGTCTCTGCTGCTCGACCAAGAAAACAATATCTTTTGATTTCATGACACAAGGGCATCAGTGTCTTTATATTTTCCTCCTTTCCATCTGTGCCTGTCAACTTGATACTATTCCTGTTGTTTTAATTTATAATATTTACATTCTGTTCTATAGCTATAGATTCTCCCACAAAAGAAATGTATTTATCCCTACATCTTAAATGGACTACTTGCTCACCCTAAGTCTTTGACTGTACTTTGTGCATTCTTATTGTTTGGCTAAAGCTTATTGTCTGATGGTTAATTCATGAAGGGCTCATAGAAACCAAATTCTCTCAAGTTGTATGTTTAAAGGTATTTTGTTTTTGCAACAGACTTAATTGGCAGTGTGGCCAGATGTAGAATTCTGGGGTCATATTTTCCTGCCAGAAGAGTCTGTAAATGTGGCCCCTTGTGTCCCAGTGTCCTGCATGCAGCTGTGCCAATGGCCGAGACAGGCTGCCCTTTTCCTGCTATAAGAGTATGTTGCTCTGCTCAATAAGCCTAACAAAACACCATAGGCTGAGTGGCTTCAACAACAGACATTTGTTTTCTCACAGCTCTGGGGGCTTTAGGTCTGAGATCAAGGTGCCATCATGGTTGGTTTATGGTGAGATCTCTCTTCCTGGCATGCAGATGGCCTCCTTCTCACCAGGTCCTCGTGTGGCTCTTCCTCTGTGTGTGAGTAAGAGAGAGCTCCCTGATCCCTCTGCCTTTTCCTGCAGAGATGTTAGTGCTGTCCTGTGACCTCACTGATCCTGGGTTACCCCTCTAGGGGCTTCATCTCCAAACACAGTCACCTGAGTGTTGCAGCTTCAGCATAAGAGATTTGGGAAACAAAGCTCAGTATATAACAAAGGGTAATGTGGAATTTTATTTATTTTTTGTCAAAAGGCCTAGATTTTATTTCCTTTCTTTGTTTTTTTTTCTCTTTGTTTTCTCTCTTTTTTCCCCCAGCTTAAATATGTGATGTAAATCCATATTTATTAACATGGAAAAACGTTCAACATATTGCTGAATGACAAAAAGCAGGTTTATTTATTTTTATCTTTCTGTAATCCTGTTAATTTCCTTCTATTAGATAATAGTTATTATTTTAAATAGACATTTCAAAAAATTCAGATATCTATGTCATGATTTTGATCTGCTTTATTTTTATGTTTTTCTGGGTACATGTTTTTTATCTGACATTTGTTTTTTCCTATTTTCTCTCTCCCCTCTCCTTTTCTATGAGTGTTTTTATATGGTGTTTGGCTAGTCTCTTTGTGTTCTTTCCTCATCTTTGAGTGAGGGGATCTCTTCCTGAACTGGCTGTGTGTGCGAGTTTAGGCTGTGTGGCAGGCAGCGTCTGGATGAAGCAGCTTCTGTCCCAAGCTTGTCTTTCTCACAGCAGATGGTGGAGGTGTAACTTCTCACCTTGCCACCTGTGCTCTGAGGGGAGGGCCTGTGGAGTGAGGCTTCTGCAGCTGTGCTGCTCAGACTGCTCTGGTTCCAAGCAAAGGCTCTCTGCTTTTTCTCTTCTCTGGAGAACTGGATATTAGCTGTTATCTGAAGTCACTGGTGTTCTCTTTCCGTGTCCTCACTCATCTGGTCTCGGTGGAGTTGTTATTGCCCTTGACAGCTCACTGCATGTCTCTTCAGTTTCACGGTGTTTGGGCGTTCTGTTATCCGAGGTGGAGTTTCCTTTTCTGTAGCTTGTTCTTGTTTTTGGGTGGATTAGTAAGAGCAGAAGTGTTTAGAGAGGGTTTGCTTTCTCAAAGAATTTTAAACCCCACAGCCAAAATAGGTTTAATCAACCACTCTGGGTGTACTCTGTCTGTCAAATTAAGGAGTTGTACAGCATCTTAATGAACATGCTTTTAGATTAACTTTTTGTGGTTCTGATGTAATTACATGAAATTTGGGTGAACACTAAATATAGTGAATGTTTCCTTACAGACAGAACCTCCCCTGAATACACCAGGAAATAGAGAATATCTTGCAGAAATTATGTTCAAATTATTTAATGTACCAGGACTGTACATTGCAGTTCAGGTAAAGACAAGTGACTTTCATGATTCCCAAGTGACCCTAGTTGTCTAATGTGGAAGAAATGGTGATTCTAGAGGCCTCGATAAGATTGTGTGGTGTGGTTTCCTTTCCCACGCACTCAAGAGCACATGAATTCATCCCTTTCTGGTCCAAGCTCAAACACTGTACAGAGCAAGTTCTGTGATTTATGTTTTTACTGCTGGTGTAGAGTTTGTCCTGCTTTTGTCTGTTTACATTCATTAAAATCTCAGGTATCCTCAGGGAGACAAGATCAAGATGTAGGTGTGGTTCTTTGGCTTCTTTTACTTCTGATCATAAAAAAGAAAATATACTATAGAATATGTTAAAACAAAACAAAACAAAATAAATGCCTTTCAAGGGTTGCCCCTTGTGGATCTGAGCTCCTGTGGTTCCGTGAGTTTGCAGAACTTCCCCTGAAGCTGCTTGTTCTTCATGGGGGGTTTTGTTGGTTTTAGGTGTAATGTATCTGCCACTCTATATAAGGGAATTGACTGAAATTTGGGGGACTAAATGATAAAATTGTTTTCCAAAATGTTTCCTGCATATTCTATTCCCTAACTTGTAGGAAAAAAGAGGAGGAGTTGCATAGATGATTAACTTGGAAGATTCCACATGCAGTGTCCTCTGTGTGGTGATTCTCAGTACAAAGTGATGTCTTAAAGGCTCTGAAAATGCCTGCATTAGAAAACTCTGTTTATTCCACCACTTCCAAATTTAACCAGAAATATTCCCCCACCCCTAAGCTGTTTTTGTTCCATGGAATAGGAGACATTTTAGGAAACAGTGGCCCAGTGGTTCTCAAAGTGGTCTATACAGCAAGGTCTCCTCAAAAGTTTTTTTTCAAAATACACATTCTCAGAATTTATATCAGACCACGGGTTTCCAGCCTCAGAATTCTGGATCGGGCAGTCCTCGTGGGAGGGGCGGGTACTGAGCTGTGTGTTGTGGGATGTCTAGCAGCATCTCAGGTCTTGACCCACCAGGGGAAGCACCACCACCAGCCTCCCCTCCCCCAAGTGTGACAGCGAGAAATGACACCAGATGTTGCCAGGTGCTCCTTGGGGGCAAAATTGCCCCTGGTTGAGAACCACTATCCTGGTTCTGCCAGATGAGAATTTCTGGATGCCAGGCCCAGTATTTTGTCTTTCTAAAGTCTCCACAAGTAGTCTTATTGCAATCCATCTGTGGACCCACACTGGGAACCAGTGGATTAGAAATTAAAATTAAAACCTCCTGATTCCACAATAAAATTCCTTTCTATCTGGCTTTTCTTTGCAAAGCATTGATTTCTCTTACTGAGAAGACGACTCCTCCAGATTAAGTGCACAAAACTTACATGTTAGTTGTCCACTTTGGAATTTGGATTTGGGAGGAAGATAGAAGGTAGGGAAGGGAAAGCTCATTCAGACTCAGTAAGAAAGAAAGGGCTTATTGCTCAAACCTGAAGATAGGCTGGTGAAACACTTGAAAAAGTCCCCATGCTGATGGTCTCCATGGTATTTGTGAAGGCACTGCTGGCCTTAGCTGTGTACTGGACATCATGACAAGTTGGTGAACACACATTAACAGGAATCACCATTGACAGCAGGGATGGGGTCACTCATGATATCCCAGTGGTCAGCAGGGCACCGAATTCTGCTCTGTCTGTGGGCCTAACCTGATTTGAGGTGAAGGAAGCAGTGAAAGAAAAAAACCCTTCTGTTAAAGCACTACTTTTGAAGACATACCTGTACTTAGCAAAGGTAACAAGAGCTTTTTAACCCAGGTGTGTGAGAAAATGGGAGATGCCTAGTGCCTGTGGCACTGGCAGTTGGAAATTTGCAGTAGCAGATTTGTGCAGTTGGGTGTCAGCAGTCGTCTGATGTCCCTGGGCTCTGCTTGGCCCTGGTGTCACTTTGTCAGGAGGGTCTTCCTGGCTTTCATTATGAACTGTCATCTGGATATCAGTGGGTGCGGTACATGACCATTTGGAGGGTGATTCTGTGTTCTGTGACAAGATCAGGCTGGAGAGGATTTGCTTCTTGTTTTTTAAAAATTAAGAGCCAAGAAGGATAGATTATTAACCTTGATTTGCAGGATGCTCTGCAATGTCACTTTTTCATTTTAATTTTCAAAATATTACAGAAGTGATTTCTAATTCAGGCATCAAGAGACTATATATATATATATATATATATATATATATACACACACACATATATATATATTTGGTACAATGGATTAGTTAAATGAATTATTTAAACCTTTTTTTTTAATTAATTGAAGCTATCTGGAGGGGGTTACATCGGGAAGTCAGAACTGCCTTTCCTCTTCCAGGTCCCTTCTTGGAGGCAACCTCTGATACTGATGTTTGTTATTTTGTGTATTACAAGTATCTTTTGTGCAAATATAGGTTTGTGTGTATATGTGCTAAGCTTCTTTTAAAAATGCAATAAATGAATCACTATGGTATACACTGGAAACTAAGATAACTTTGGAAATCAACTAAGACTTAAATTTAAAAACTGCAAACGGTTTTTTTTAAAATCAATTCACTTATTTCAGTTAAAAAATAGTCACTGTTTTATTTCAGGATGTTGCAGAGATGATGTACTAATATGCTGGTGATTTAATACTTCAAAGTTCAGAAATCACTGCAGGGGGAGACTGACGTATCTACAGTCTGGAGGAAAAAACCAAATCCTTCCCCTCTGTCCTCACACCCTGCCAGTGTCCTCTTTGCCCTGGGATGAGGAGAGGCAGGAGTCCTGCAGAGCATGCTCTGTGTTCGCAGCCCCTTCAGCCAGTCTCGGGGTGTGAGCTGTTTTGGTGCCACTTTCTGTGTGGTCCTGCCTGGCTCTTCTCTGAGGTCACATCCTCAGAGGTCAGTGCAGGCCGAGGTCAGGGCCTGTGCCTGTGGGCCTGCTTCCTGGCCTCCCCTGTGCGTCTGAAACAAGTTTCACACTACGTGCAGGCCCACAGAGAAAGTTGTTGTTCAAATTTTTCTGTGTTTCTTAGTGCAGTTTTTTCCCCCTAATTATAAAAATTGCATTTACTGTACAAAATTTAGATAAAATGGAGAAATGTAGAAAAGAAAATAGAGTGACCCACAAACCTGCCCAGAGGACTGTGCCACACTTTTTTGGTATAGTCTACTGAGCTCTTTTTCTTAGACACACGATACACGTTTTAAGCATAGTTGGGATACCCTCCATCTGATTTCGTGTTCTAATTGTACAATGTGCTCCTGAAGTTGTATTTTGCATATTGATTTATCCCTGATGTATCTTTATGGTTAAATACTCTGTGGAAAAATATTTAGTAACTACCTAACAGCCCATCCATGTGGGTATAGCACAATTCACTTACTTATTTTCCTACCATTGGCTGTGGGTTGTTTTATTTAATCTGTGATGAAGCTGATACTTACTCAACATGGGTTGAATTAATTTTAGAAAATGTTATAAATAATATATTGAGTATAGAAATTGTGAATAGTTTCTGTTTGTGAGAGCTATTGTTCTTATGAATTTAAGTTTTTGATTTTAATTATGTGCACATAATCTTTTATATTGATCTTAAATATTCTACAATTGTCTTGGGCTCCTGAGAAATGCTACACACTCTCTCACTTCTAGATGTTGAGCACCTCAGAAGACACAAGAGGAATTCAGTCACCTTTTCTTGCAGCTTCACTGGTAACTGTCTGTGCTTGTACTTGGTGGAACTGATACATCTTTCAGATGGATGAGGATTTACTCCAGCCTTCTGTCTCCATGAGTGTGTGACAAGCAGCCAGTGCCATCAGGGAGCTCAGAGTGCCTCCTGAACCTGGTGCAGGTGGGGATTGTCCACTCTGCACGGCTGCTACCACCAGCATGAGCTGGACCTTCCCAGCCTGTGGCCTGCATGTTGAGTGGCACCCCAGGGGGTTGGTGAGGCCCTGGTGCCACACGGCAGCTCCTGGCCCTGCCCTGCTGGTGATGGCTGGCAGCCTGGTCACTGGCCCGGGAGGACAGCTGGGTGAGCAGATCCAAACTCCCCTCAGCATGGATCTCACATAGCATAGGGTTGAGGGGAACCTGCCAGACTGTTCCTTCCTACCAAGTGCAGCCCTTACTAGAGTGAGCAGGTCACTTACTTATTCCTTAATGCATGCCTAAACCAAGCTGTGTGCTTGACCTGCTGCCTGTCACTGGGTCTCTTCTGTGCACCCACTCACCCCATATGATGGGTGAAGGTGCCAAGGCTGAAACATATGTGTTAACAGGTATGGCCATGGTTACTCTGCCCACAGATGTGGAACCAGTATCTGAGTCTAGGTTGTCACACTCTAAATCCCGCATGCTAACCAGGTTGTTGACTTTTATATGTAAGCCAATTTGTAGTTGGTTTAAAAATTAATAGTTAAACAGAAAAAAAATGTGACAGTGAATATATATATGTTCATGTATAATAGAAAAATTGTGCTCTACACTGGAATTTGACACAACATTGTAAAATGCCTATAACTCAATAAAAGTGTTTAAAAATTAATAGTTAAAACTTTTTCCTTTTTGTTAGAGGAACAAAATAATATGACCCATTGTTTGGACAGACAGCAGTATTTTAGAAATTAACTACCTTCTGTGGTTTTCTCTTCACATTCCTAATGGAAAGGCCACTTTGGTTGCTTACAGAGCATCACAGGTTCTCCTAACAGAATTGCATGCATGGTCATTTTATCCTCTCTCCCCTAGTCCTGAGCTTTGCACAGAGTAGGGATTCAGTAAATGCTTGCATTGCCAGGGCAGGTGGGGGAAGAAGTCTAACTTAGAGTCCAGGGAGGGCTTCCCTCCTGGAGTTACTCACATGGTGTTTTGCCTCTCTGTCTCCCCAGGTGGAAGGTTAGGTACTAGGAAGCTGCATCAAACACATCCCTGTTGCAGGTAGAGATATTATGTATTTCATTCAACAGCTGCCAAGGGAGTGGGAGGTGGGAATCCCTCCTGAGCAACCACTGGAGTCTGCAAAGGCCATTAAGGTAAAAACAGTTGGGAAAATGGCCAGTTTGGGTGTGAGAGAGAAACGGTTGTTTGCACACTTCCCCTCGTGGCTGCCACCCCTGCTCCACCGTGCCTTCCCTCCCCTCCCCATGAATGTGGGTCTCCATCTGTTTACCACTTGAGTTAAGGGGCTGAAAGCTTAGCTTCTTCTCTGAACATGGATGCTTGTGGAGGCTCCAGCTGTAAATGAGAGTAGCTTGATAACTGGTATTGAGCATCCTGTGTAGTACGATGTCATTTAATTGGAGCCTGATTAGACAGAACCTTCAATTAGTCAATGTGTCTTGCACCTCTCCCTCCAGGCTTCATTTCCCAAGTAAGGAGCAGACAGCAGCAGCAGTGACTGTGAGGAATCCTGTGCAGTCAGCCAGAATTCAAACTCATTTCCATCTATTGCTATGTGTGGTTCTGTACCCTGAGAATTACCAGTCAGAGTGATGCTGTTCTAGGGTGAATCATTGAACAGAGTCCTCCTGTGTTTTCTAGACTCCGTTACCATGCTGGAGGAGTTACAGGAAGCTCTAAAATTAAATCAGTAAGATTCAGAGGAAAATGGTTCATTGGTCCTTATTTAAAATGTCCACCTGACTGATCCATCAGTTTAGTCTTTGTGTCACTCTGTAGGTAGAACTTGACAGATCCCTTTCAAAGCATCTTTCTTTTCAGGTTGCAAAATCAGGACAAATTACTGTTTTGTTTTTGTTTTTGTTTTTGTTTTAGTCAAAATGAAGATATTTTTAGTAATACAAGGATAATTATTATATAAAGAGCAAAGATTTTGTTTTTGGAGAAGAATTTAAGCATGGAGTTGACATGTGGCCTTGAACACACAGTTTCTGAGCTGCAGGGAAGTTTAAGGGAGGTTAGCCTCCCCCTTTCCTCCCACCTTTGCACCCAGTAACAGACTGGTTGAAGGAAAGCTAGTGTCTGGGGGGATTCCTACACTTTGCATGACACTCTTGGTGGATACAGAGGTATTTTTAGGACAGGGTGCACTGGTGTGGGTCAGGGCTCCTGTGAGTAGGGTGGCTGGGTGGCTGGGTGTGCCCAGGACTAGAGTTTCCAGGGCTGGGGCACCTCAGAGCTTGGGTGTGTGGTCCTGGGCAGTCCATGGGAGTCAACCCTTTCCCTCTGGGGGAAGGTTTACAGAAGTAGCATAAGACTTTCTTTTTATATTAAAATATTTCCCAGAACTTCCCCTATTCCCTTCATTGCCTTTCTTCAAGGAAGTAAATTTGGATATTTGACCCAAGTTCCCTCACCACCCCACTCCTGTTACCAATGTGTCTCAGAGCCTCTGCCCCCTGATCATCAGGGTGGCCATGCAGGTGAGTTGGGCCCTAAGTGTGCTGACTGTGACAGAGGCTGCTCTCCTAGTCCTCGTGGTGGGCTTTACCTTCCTCACTGGCTCTCTGGGGTCCATTCTGGCCCTGAACCAGGGCTGACCCATTTGGGCAGTGACAATGTATCACTCAGCCATGAAGTTTGGAAGTGGAAGAGCTCCTTGTGTTCCCTGCAGGTCACCTGTCCCAACCCTGCTGTCAGTTAGTTCTTGCCCCACTTCTCTCTGTGGGAATGGGTCAGAGTTACCCTGTGTCTTGTTGCCCCTGTGGGCAGGAGGGGGCCTGTGGATACAAGGGTCCTGTTGGTGAGGGCAGTGGTGGTCCAGGTCTTGGGGCTGACACACTGCACACCATCAACTCTGTGGAGGCACTTCCTGCCTTCAGTTAAGCCTCTGAGATACTACGAGACATTGACCTGGTGTCTTAAGACAACTTACTGTTTCTGCCCTCAGCCTGGTAGATTTGAGGTTGTATGGACTGACCCACTCACTCAGTTATCAGTGAGCACAGGGGTGTGTAGCAAGTCTGGCCCATCAGTCTTACAGTTGTGCAGAGTATACCAAGGCTGGTATTAGGTTTCGTTTCAGGGATTCTAAGAAATTTTGAACTTAGTATCATGAAAATGCCTTCAGAGGTCCTCCTGAGCACCAGCGTTGGGCCTGACACAGTGCAGGCATTGAACAAAGCCCATCTGGCCCACAGGAAGCTGAATTTCAGAATCCAGTACCCAGGGGCCAACTGCTGTTCTTGTGAGGTTAGCTCTAAGGACAGATGATCAACCCAGAGACCCCAAGTCAGGCATCACCAGCTGAGGAAACACTTTGCACAGCACAGTCCGGGGCTGGCACTGCGCGGGTTCTCATACCCCAATGTGTGGCAGCTCCATCCTGCCAAAGTCGGGCTTTTCTTTGGTTCATGGTCCCAGCACCTTAAAAAGTGCTGTGCCACTTATTTATCACCGTCACTGGTTACTCTGACTCTCAGCCAGTGTATGGGCCAATGGGAAGGGGTCTGTGTGTGTTTTATTCACTTGTGCATCCCACGTGCCTAGGCACCCACTAACTCTCTGTTGTGGAGCCACTGAGTGTGCTGTGTCAGACCGCACAGCAGGTTAACCACCTGCCAATCGGCCTTGGTGAACACAGGGCCAGATCTGCTGCCTTCAGATCTGGGTTGGGCTGTGATGAGGGTCTGCTGGTCCCAGTGGGTGGCAGCGAGTGCCTGGGCAGGTGCCACGTGGGGGCATACAAGGAGTAAGAAGAGAGGAGATGGAGACGAGGGACTTGGAACGCATCATCAGACATCATCTCAGATAGTGGGGAGCAACATGTGACAGTGAGGCTGGGACTAACAGCAGAGCTGAAATGAAAGCAAAGTACTTGGCCAAAGCATAGCTGTTAGACATCACTGAGCCCAGTAAGTTTCCCTTGGAGCTGTGGCCATGGGCAAGACTGATGTTGGGGGCTTGTGGTGCTGGAGTTACTGGGTGTTTGCCAGAGGGCAGACTAGGTGGTGGCTAATGGCTGGTGACATCCCTCTGTGTGTGTCTGCAGGAGAATTACTGACACATTTGCCCCAATATAGTCAAGGAGTTTGCCAAGTATGATGTGGATCCACAGAAGTGGATCAAACAGCACACAGGGAACAATGCCATCAGCCAGAAGAAGTTCATTATCGATGTTGGCTAGGAAAGGTTCCCAGGCCTTGAAATTTTCTCTCAGCCAGAGGTAAGACATTTGCTTTCTGAGTGTGGAGAGAATGACGTGTGTGGAGCAATGCTGCCAACTTATGTGTGCAAGAGTGGCTCCCCGTGGGGCTCCCGAATGAGGTGGCCACCTTCCAGGGAGGATCTTGGGAGTGTAGGCTTCAGCCCCAGTGGCTGCTCTGGCTCCTGCGTGGTCCACCCATTTGACTGGGTGTTTCAGCGTGCTCCTCTTTGGCTCTGGCTATCTGTTAAACAGTTAATGGTTGATTTAACCAAGAGCTGTTAGGAAGAAGCTTTAAGAACAATAGAAGAGAATGGATTTGAAATTCATCTCATACTAATATGAAAACTAGTTAATCTCGAGGACTGATTGGAATTTGCGTCTGTATAAGAGTACAATAGCGTACATGTAACCTTCCCATCACTCATGATGATCTGTCCTCATTCCAACTTTTAACCCAGGACAGCTGATCCTGCTGTGTTCCCTGCTGCAAGTTAAAGCTTCTGTCTGAGGACAGCCTCGGAGAGAAGAATTGGAGATATTATCAGTTTAATGAGTAGTCACAAAGAATGATTACTGCTTTTGCAAAAGCAGTAATTAAGAGGCAATATTTTAAGGTTTAGTAAATTGGATTTTATTTGTATTTTGGTATAATTTTCTGCCTCATTCAGTTTACATTTAATAGGTAAATACAAACCACTGCCTGTTCTTCGATGTGTATGACTGTTTGTTCAGGGAAATGGCACACAATGTATGTCTGACTGTACCTGATAGCACAGCACTCATTCGCTTGTGATAGTCTTCAGTTAAAATAGACATAAACCAACAAAATCCAGTGAACAGCTGCATGGTGACTTCTTCCCTTGAGCAACACTTTCCATGATTCTTAAAGCATATTTCAGAATTTTGTAATTGAATTACTTATACTTTAGCTTATTTCACTTGTGGAATTGAATGTAAGATTTTTTACTCAATAACATGATTGTTACCGTATTGATTGTTTCACTTAGAAGCCACCACCCTTCCCCCTTCCCAGTCTTCTAGCCCAGATTTACAGTGTGAGTCACTGACTAGGTTTTTTTCTTATATCCTGGCTAACTTTTTCATGACATTAGTGTCTATACATCACATGCTCATTACCTACTCACAATATTTTTCATTACACGTCACATACACTGAGCACTTGCTTTTTAAAATCTCATAAAAGGTGTGAGTCACTGTGTATTCTAACGCGGTGCTGGTCTGCCTTTGTTACTGTTTGATTTTCTCCCTCTCTAAACCCACACATTTCATCTCTTGAGGGGACATGTCACCATCACTCCATGCACGGTCACTTGGATTAATTTGACACATTCATTCCAATGTGACAGTTTTAAAGACATAGTGAATTCTGTATTTGTTAAAGTTACATTTTTAAAAAGTTGTTGAGAGAAATGTGTAATGTTTCTTTTATATCTGTATAAAATTCAGTTTGCCAACCCAGATATTATGGAATCCATCTCAGATGTTGTTGACAAAGTAATACAGAACTGTCCCATCGATGTCCACCATCTCCTGTGTAAGGTATAAGCTGCTTGGGTAACATGCTTGGATTTCATTCTGGAGTTAAAAGCCCAGCATTCTGAGAATAATAGACTCTTTCCATCAGTCTGCAGCCAGTCCTATTTGACTTCTGTTTTATAGGACTTGTTAAGGGCCAGATTACTGATAAAATTTTTTTCTTGGAGTGAGGATGACTTAAATGCTTGGCAATATGACTCAGTTAACCAGAAGTATTTGATTTAAATATTTTAGTATCTCTTATTCTTATCTGCCCAGCTGTATTTTTAAATTGGACAATTTTAACCCTCCATCTTGACTGAAAGATCAAGGGGATCCTTCCCCTCTTGCTTTCTGTGAGTTCGCTGGTCTTGCTTCATGAGTATTTAGATTAGTGCCAGATATGTTGTTGTCAGAGAGAAGGAGGAATCTGAAATGAACAATCATAAAATACTCATGTAATGTTTCTCCAAAATTCTTTGAGTGCAGGGAATTTTGAAACTTGAAAGGAGAAAAAGGCAGTTCATGTAACTGTAGGATGAAGGAAGTGTTGCTGAAAGCCAGAGGGGAGGGGCAGAAAGTGGCAGTCAGCTGGCCCTGCTTCCCTGCCAGCTCACCTCTGTCTGCACAACCTTCTCTTCCCCCAGACCATGTCTTCCCTTCTTAGATGCAGGGACTGGAACCTTAGGGAGGAGAGGGCCAGGCTAAGTAGGGAGGGCTTAATACAGTTTATTTCATCTGGACAGTAGAATACTACTCAGCCTTTAAAAAGAATGAGGTAAAGCAATGTAAATTCAAATGAAAAGATGTCTACAGTATATATTGTCAAATGAAAAAGCAAGTTGTAAAATTTACACATAGTATTATTTCATTTTATTTAAAATATACTTTATGTATATATATAAGAAAAGATTTTGAATGATATGTGTTAAACTCCTTAAAGGAAATAAAATATATCTGGGCAAGAGATGGATAACTCTTACTTTCTACTCTTTGTGTTTTAAAATTATTTGAAATTTTATGGTTAATAAATGTTATTTTTATTATTGGAAAACATTTTCTATATAGACAAATTTGATGGGTAAAAGCAAATTATAATTTGGTTTTTATTGGTATATAACCTTAATTAAACACATCTCACCTCCAGTAAATGTGCAAGGAAGGGAAAGCAAAGGCAGATGAGAGTATTAAGTTTAGTGCAGTATGTGTCTTGTTCTCCCTACTTCTTAAATCTCACATAACATTAGCTGTGTCTTCCTGTCCATGAAATCAAGGAACAAGTGTGCACTATTTAGTCCTCATTTCATCATGGTTGAGATGAAACTTCTGCCAGCAGTAAGGATTGTTCATGCTTTGGTTGAGGTTTCTCATTTGATCATTTAGTTTGCTTTCAGTAGATTTATGGGATTCTTGAAGTACAGCTGGCCTTCTAGCCTGAGTACCTTATTTAACAGATGATGACACTGAACCCTACAGATAGGAAAAGGATGTAAAACTGGAGGGACCTGGGTCACATGGGGCAAACTGGTCTTCAGTGTTTTTCTAATTGAGGTAGGGTTGATGTACAATATTATATAAGTTTCAGGTTGCAGTTTTTATAGGTTATACTCCATTTATAGTTATTATAAATATCAGCTATATTCCCTGTGCTGTACAACATATCCTTGTAGCTTATTTGTTTTATACGTAGTAGTTTGTACCTCTTAATCCCCTACACCAGTCTTGCCCTCCCCTCTTCCCTGTCTCATGGATACCCATTTGTTTGTTCTCTGTACCTGTGAGTCTGCTTTTTGTTGTTGTTGTTATGTTCACTAGTTTTCTTCTTCAGAGTTCATATATAAGTGATACTCTGCAGTATTTGTTTTTTCTGTCTGACTCATTGCACTCAGCATAATACTCCCCACGTCCATCTATATTGTTGCAGATGGCAACATTTCAATTTTTTATGGCTCAGTAATATTCCATTTTATATATAACACAACTTCTTTATCCAGTCATCTGTTGATGGATACTTAATTTGCTTCCATATCTTGGCAATTGTAAATAAGGTTACCATGAACATTGGGGTGCATATATCTTTTTAGGTTAATGTTTTCATTTTCTTTGGATGAATACCCAGAAGTGGAATTGCTAGATCGAATATTAGTTCTATTTTTAGTTTTTTGAGAAGCCACCATCCTGCTTTCCATAGTGGTTGTAATAGTTTGCATTTCTATTGTTCCTACTGTTCCTAGTTTGGGTGTATGAACTATACTGACTATCCCAGAGTGAACTAGTTGCTCACAGTGTCTCTCAATGTGACTACACATTGAATCAAGTGGGAAGCTTTCAAATCTGGTTGCCTGGGCCAATTGTATCAGAATCTCTGGGTGGGGGTGTGTGATGTTGGGGGACTCAGCTCCTGGGGAGACTGATGCCCATGGACAGCCAGGGCTGAAAACTGATTTCAAGCAGCACATGCTGCCTGCAATAACTTGACCTCCTGGATAAATCACAGGCCTCCAGGACTCAGCTCTCACACACTAGTCTCTGTATAAACTATACACCAACAGTATATATGGGTTCTCTTTTCTCCACATTGTTGTTAAATGTTTGTGTTTTTGTGGTCTTTTTGATGATAGCCATCCTGATAGACATGAGGTAATATATCACTGTGGTTTTAATTTGCATTTCTCTGATGACTAACAATGTTGAATATCTTTTCACTGCCTGTTTTCTTGGCTCAGTGGCAGGAACTATAGGTTGATTATCTTTTGA